GTGATTTTTCATTTGCTTTAACATTTTTCATACATTATTGAAATAATTAAATGCAATTAAGTATTCTTCAAAATACGCTAACTATAATAATTTGCAAAAAAAATCGTCTTTCAATATTCTTTATACCTTTGAATCTTCGTACTCTCTAGTACTTATTATGGGATAAAATATTTTAAGATTTGCTAGAGTAAAAGATTGTATTGCTTCTAAAATTTAAAAAAATCTGTGATTTACTTCGTTATAACTGCCGGTATAACTGCCTTTAAATCATATTTAAATACTAAAATATTCATATTTACAGAATATATTAAAGTTATAAAAAAATGAAATCCAATAGTTCCATTAATTAACAACTTACAAAATTTACATGTTGAGAAACTAAAAACACGATGATGTAATTCTATATGTTTGAAGGACGGCGAAAAGTTTTTTCATATAATCAATGGCACAATGTACTCACAAAATCAGTAAGAAACTTACACGATCTCAAATAAAATAAAATAAATATAAAATAGATTAGTTATTGATGTATATGCGTCAAGCTTCTTAAGATTTCCCATAAAGCAATAAATCATGATTCCTAGGCAGCCAGTATTTATTTAAGATTAAATATTGGTAACAAATATATATTGAATTGAAAAATTACGAGAATAAATACAATATGAAAATATAATTGCACTCTTATCTAGAACAAAAAATTACTTATTCAAAAAACATTGATGTCAACAAAAAGGTTGCCGTGAATCTATTACGCATAAAACGTACATAAATTCCTGTAAATTTAATGTCCAAATCGAGATTCTCTTGTAAACACGCATTATAGCATGAATTTGAAACCGAACTAGCATTTTAGTTCATCAGTTACAAACTTGTGACGCGCCATGCCTTGTGACGATAACATCATTATTAATTATGAGTTATACATCTAATGAGCAATGATTTTTCATTCTATGCTGTCACTTTACGTGCTTCACTCACACACACGAGCATCTAGGCTAATCACATTAGCAAGTGAAACAATGTTAAGTCATCAAGTCGTCGTAGTCGATATGAAATATTCAGTGCGCGTGGAGCGTTTTAACGAATGAATTTAATTGTGTACATTTCTCTAATATATTTGGTGTGAAAAAATTCACGACCTGTACGAGAACATTCGTCAGACAATGAATTTATGAATTAACCACGAGATATGGTTTACCTTAATGGATGAACCTTATCAAAATACATAGCCACATGTATTTTAATACGTACGGGAGACTTTTCCTTATCTTCTCCAATGTACTTACACACGCGCAAGCTTGCACTTGTATAATACACATATTTGTATAAATGTATACACATTTTTTTTTAATAAGTATGTTGCATAATATATACATATCTATCGAAAGAGAACAACGTGACCGTAGGTTTTACGAGCGTTTATAATTTCTAATACAACTTAATAATAATTTATCATAATTAAAGCTCTTATCGTAATGAGAATAAAGGCCAAGTAAACACTATTTTATACTATATAGTTTTACTTTAATAAGAATTTATCTGCTCTTTATGACTTCATTCTTGTAAATATGTTGGACTTGGAAATGCTCTAACGTCATTAATATTTTAAATTCTAATTCCTACAATTGCAATTTAACCCTTTCACATGGATCTCGAGATAATTAATCTCATATTTATCGCTCGAACATTTGATCAAATTAGCAAAAATAAGTACAATTTATCATACAAGCATTTAAATGAATGAAACTTTTTGAAAAAGCTCGCGTCGTAGTGCTAATAAATAATCGATCAAATTTTTTTATCTTAATATTGATAAATATGACAACGATTATCCTACAAAAAATACTCAAAAAAAAAAACAGGGCGAAAATTAAGGGGACACTTTGGTTAAGACAAAATCGGCCGTCGTCTGGTTAGTTGGGCCCCGCCGATCTTCGAATTCGTGACTTTTGAAGGGAGTAGGGCTCGGGTCTCCGAGGCCTTTCGAGTTCCCGTCGACGATTTCGGAAACGTTGACGCCACCAAGTGACAAGCCGTCGGTGCCTTATAATGCAAGAAAAAGTCAAATGTGCCAAATGCCAAGCACAAAAAAATTTGGTAACCATAGGAAGCCGAGGGCAGAAAAAGGACATCGCGCTCCGAGGAATTACCTGGAATATATTCTATAGAAAGACTTTCGTTTAATTTTGAATTATCGGCAAATTGTAAATCGATAATAATTTTGTATTTAATTTAATAATAAAAAATCAGGGAATTAGTTATGTGCGTGGCTGATGATTGTTGATCGTTTTTATGCTGTTATTTAATTTCCACATATCAGTAATCATAAATGCAGGAAATAATTTCTTTCTATGAATGCTATTAGAAATAATCAATAATCAAATATTCGTATGTATGAATAAGGTACACGAATGTTGAAATATTGTAATGATAAGCAAAGATCGCATTGTGATGAAATATTATAATATCAGCGATGACTTCTCATTAATTATATTAATAACAAGAATTAATAACAAGGGTATGGGGATATAAATGTAGTAGGAAAGATTTACAATCGTGTATAAGCCAAACACCTCTCATTCGACGAACTTTAGTATTTCAAAGACTTTTTTCAGCTAACACAGCTTGTAAAAAATTTCGTCAAAACTTTGAGCTGACAATTTACGAACAAATTTTCATTTACTAATATTTTTAAAAAGTTAATCAAATATACTTTTCATTTGACTTGAAATATGGACATTGTATCGATAATAAAAATAATACTATATTTAACCAAACGAATTATGAAACTCGTTTTAAGAGTAGCAAACAATCGATTACTATTATAATTTAGTATACGATATTGAATATTACGGAAATTTTACGGATAATGTTTGTAAAGAAAGATAAATAACTGGCACTAAGTAGCTATTAAGTGAATTTAATAACTGTTTTCATAACCATTAGTCGCACTTGGAGTGCGTACAGTAGTGCAAGATCACTTTCTCTATTCACAGCACAGAACGTTTTACACTCTTAGTGTAAGCTATTTGACATACGCCATCAGACGGTTATTGAATGAACTATCATACGAATTACTGAAGTTGTGGGTGCTATTCTTATGAACGTACATTTACTTTGTGTATAAAAGTATTTCGGCAAAGAACTCATCCTTCTTTTTTTGATAGTCTTAAAACATTATTTTATTGAGATATGAATCATAGAAATTAATTATAAAATATCTAAACGAAAAGAAAATTTTTCTTTAGGATGTTAACATAATACATTTTCCATTTCCAAGAAATACTATAATTCACTTCCAACATTATTGCCGCCTGGCGTGTAGAACTAATTTCTACAAATTTTTATATTATATAGTATATAATATATAATATATTCAATATAATTGCCTTATATATAAAAAATTATTACTTATAAATTGTTAGACGTATTGTTTACTTATTAAATCCAATTGCGCAATACGTAAATAAGCACTAAAATTTATTTTTTGCGTGGGGAGGGGACGGGTGCGTGTGTGTATGTGTGTGTGTGTATACCATATTAAATATATTTATTTAATTTCTTATATATATTATGTATAAACGTATACATATTTTTATATATAACTTATATCATATCGAAAGTTAAAGGTTTTATTTATATATCTTATTGGCAGTATTAAACAAGTTTTCTTTTCGAAAAATAATAGTTACATTCGCTTAAAGTAAAAGAAATTTATCATTATGTCCGTAATTATTAAAACTATTTTTAGGTATTAATTTTTGCTCATTTTTATCATTATATTATAATCAATAATTTCGAGTGTAATGCAAAGAATTTTTTAAATGTAACAGGAAGGAATGACTTTATATCATATTTATAAATAATATACTTTATTGCATTCGTTATTTAGTGACTCTTCGTTTTGCCGAAATAATACTAACCGAACAAATTTTTGCTATTAACGTAAAATAGAATTTAGTTTAATATCTTTCAACGATTAATTTATTACATATTTTAATCATTTGTACGTCATGTTAAATACATTTTACAATTTATTTATTTTAACGAAGTAAGGAAGATGTTATAGAGTTTAATTTTTAAAATATTTTTAAATATTTGCGACGCAATTTATATATATTTTTGTCCAATTAAATTTGTTTCGTAATATGCAATTAGATTAAACGAAAACGAAATATGTTTTATGAAAGTCATAAATTATTAATTTGAAATATAGATTAAAAAATTAAATTATAGATAATACGATTATATGTAAAATAATTTATTAAATCAATTTAAATTAGTGTATTAAAACGTTTATCGTTAATATTTTGTAAAGACGGGATATGAAAACGAAATCTATACCTGAAAACTCAGCTTATCTTATAGCTAATAGTTATTTTACTACTATGATCTATGTTATCCAATTTCCTTTTTTTTCAAAATTAATGAATATAAATTTAAAAACTTTTTTTTAGACTCTTTTTTCCATTCTTATGATATAATATTTTTATGTAATTTTGCTTCTTTGCTTTTCTTCTTCTCCCTGCTATCAGTATCCAATACATAAGTACACATTAAATGATAGAATATTACTTTTTCTTAAATAAAGTAATATGTCATGACTTCCTTCTAATATTGTTTGAATAAAATTAATTAATCTTTTGAAAATAAAGTATACGATGAACTATATTAAAATCTTCTAAAGAAATAAAAATACATTTCAATATTTATCTACAAATTATTAAATTAAACATTACAAATACATGTTTCTATATGTTATATTTGAAAAACAATATTACAAAAAAAAATTATATTTATAAAATTAGGAAATAAACTTTATTCCCGAGATTTTCAATTATTATTTATCCCAATATGTTGCTTGGCTCTATTGGTAATTGAGATTAGAACATACAATTTCTATACACACATATATTTAATAATAACATATAGTTTTATTTTTTTAAGAAATATGATAATCCTATATTGACATAAAAATAAGAAATACATGCTTGTTTCAGCCCTATCCACATCGCCTGAAGATGTGGGGGAAGGCATTCAGTCGCCGGAAAACGACACGAGTAAGTAATTACATTATGCTTTATTTGCAAATGCAGCATTTCTAGAGTATTTGCATATTCTATTTGAATTAATGATAAAAAATTTTTATCTTATTTTAAATAATTACTTAACATATAAATTAAAAAATCCAATTTTTAATAACAAATACCAACAAATAATATAAAATATGAAATATCATGTTTACTGACAAACATAATTTTCAATACAGAGAGATTTAAACTGTAAAAATGAATTAAAATTTTCATAAGTTTATTGACTAATCATGCCCATGTACTTTTGAATTTGGAAATATTACAAATGTCTTTTATTTCTAAACTTAAACAATATTGATAATATTTATAAATGTGAAATTTGTACGTCGTTTTTTACGAATTACTTGATCAGGACAAAACTGACTAAATAATGAAAGTATGTACAATAAAAGGACACAAGTTGTTATTACTCGCAGTGACTTATTAAGAGTTCAAACGTACATAAAAGTGCGCACAGACAGATCGGTTATCTATGATCGATAAAACAGGTATTCGTAGTATTGTCTGTCCCTGGTACATTTATACCATATAAGGAAACATAATTATCGTTCAAG